TTACTTTGAGTTTATTGAAAATCTCTTTGTTTTTGAAAATGTCACAGACAGCTTCTTAGTCCCTTATTGTGTTAAAAAGTTCAGTGGAGCCAGGGGATCTTTTTGCAACATATTTTTTTCATGTCTCAGTTACAACGTGATTGTAACTTTCAAGAAAAAAAAAAACCCAAACCAAACTATTGTACAGCAACCAAACTAGCCTCATTTTCTGGGCAGATCTTAGTTCAACTGTTTCAAATTACATCACCGCTAAAATCTTCTTTGTCATTGCTTGGCTCATCCATCTTTAACTGCCTATAATTCTGGTTTAGTGGGAACCTGTTTCTGGTAGTATTTTTAATATAGTGGCTTCAAAATGCATGCAATAAGAAAACAAACTGCAAATATGATGACTACATGTATGACAGTGTGAGACTAAGTTCTCACTGTCAGTTCTGACTGTGAATAGTAGCTCTATGCCACTAGGATTCCTGCTGATATTAAAGAGCTTCCTGTAGAAGTCAGGTATGGCAGAGAGCAGCAAGAGCTGATCCTTAAAAAGTCAGTTTTCAAAGACTCAAACAAAAGAAGCTATATGGTGAAATGTTTTAGTCTTTAACTGTAGCAGTTTCAGAAGTCAAACCAACCTGTGGGAGCACCAAGAACATTAAGTTGCATAACAAGCTCACTGCTAGTATTTTGTGCGGAAGCTTCCAGCCTCTCTTCTCCCAGTAGCTTAGACAGATGTTGAACCTGTCTCACTTGCAAAAGTAAGTAGATTTAATATCCAAAATAAATATCCAAATATACAAAAATAAAAGTACAGTAATGCAGATTGTTTCCTGCACTAATTGGATCCTTACTCCTGTTTTGCAAGTTGCTCAAAATCGAGGCTGTATCAGTGAGAAAACTAGATGTTTAATGACGCCAGGAAGCAATTTTATGTTTTGGCATTAGTCAGTATGCAACAGAATGTAAACAGACGTTCTATTCATAAAAATACAATGAAATCAGAAGACATAAAAAAGCCTGGTTAAAGATTTGTCAAGCCAGAAGTCACTGGTAAGCTTTTAAGTAATGTGAGAACAAGCCCTTTACGTTACATGTTAGTGCAAACTGAAAATATTTTTCAGGAGGCTCAACCAACTTTCCCTACCCACTCCATTTTAAGTCCTAGCATGATTAAAAGCTATACTTGAAGCTCTTGAAGTTATAGCATAGGAACAGAATGGAAAATACATATGTAAGGACTTAGAAGAACTGCTGCAGTTGAAGGCATTACTGAAGGTTTCTCCTGTTACTGACTGTATGAGGGGAAGCTTGATCAGAATTGCTGTTAGGCTTAACCTGTTTGCATTTAATTCTTGATGGCACTGGTCTGGTCATTGTAGTATTGTTTGGAAAATGTATTTTTTCAGAACTGAGTCTGTATGAATGTAAGGACAGAAGGCAGATTTTTATGCTGATTCTGTACAAAACCTAAAAGGAAATACAGAAAAAAACCTCCACTTTTTCTTAATGGATTTTGGAAGTTACTGACTGTTCATATAGAATTGCACTATAGTGTTTCTGGCAGAAGTGACCTTTTGTTTTAGAAGTCAGATTTTTAAGTGTAATGAAAATTAGTGAAATGTATTTCAGGGAGTGTCGTAAGACAGTTTTAGAACATGATGGTACTCAGTGCTTGCATTAGGTTTGAACAATAAAGACAGAAAAGTGTTATCATGACCATCAAAAGATACAGTAAATCCCCTATAAGGAATACAGCAATAGACTGTTATCAAGTGCGTTACTTTCTGTACTGAACAGATCAGAATCACACACTAAGAATGCTAATTTAAGGCTCTTTAACATATAAATGCAGGCAGTGCATTAGGGAATACTTAATAAAAAAAAACACACACTAAGAACTACACTGTATGGAATGTCACCACATATTTTTTTTGTTGCATGCAATGTGATCATGTGAATATGAATTCAACTCTTATTCAGTAGGGAGATCAGCGTCTCAAGGTAAAAGCCAGTTTCTCACACCATAAAGTCAGAATGTCCTATACTGTTGTCCTGCTGTATACTGCCTTGCTGTTTATACTTTATCGTTTGTAGAGTGCATATTTCTGCAACAAATTACAGTGGTTTAGTGGCACAAAACATTTTCTTATTGCATAGCTAGGAGCCAAGAACAGTTCTGTAACACCCTCACCATGGATTTTCTTCCTGACCAGTTGAGGTTCACTGGTTCTGGAACTGAACATACTGTGTTTATTTTTCTGCACTCAGAAGTGCCACTGGAATCCACCTTCCCTGTTAGGACCATCCAAGGCAGGGTGAAACCTGGGTGAAGGACAGTGATCCATCAGTCAACACTGCATCCTTTTGTGAGGAGCTGATAAGTAGTGGTACCACTCAAGGCAGAATTTTTTCCCTGCTTCCATTTCATTATTACAAGAAGACAAATGCATTAGATCAGATTGGTTTTGTATTATGTGGGTATTCTCAGTATTGCCAGTGACAAAAGCCTGACAATTCATGAGAGAAGGCTGAAGATTAAACGTTTGCACATATGCATATATCCTTGTGTGCTCTTACGTATAAAATCATACATGGGAACTTTCTTTGAATATGAACCTTGGGGCTTTTTCTTATTGTAATTATAGCTTGACCAACCTACACTTGGTTGTATCTCTGAAGTTAGCCTAACTTGAATGAGGGAAGTTGTGCTTCAAAGTAGTGGTATTTCGATAATCAGCAGAGAAGTTCAGTCTTGTCTCATTACCAGCTCCAGAGCTGGCTGCATGTTTGTACACTGGCTTCAAGCAACACATTCCTTGCAGGCGAATTAAAATCAAGAAACCAAATTTTTCTTGGGAAATCTTCCTTCATGTACTACGACAGATTTCTTCTGCTGGAGGAAATAGGCAGAGAAGGGAAAGATTGCTGTTGTCAGAGAAATTATTAGTGTTCATCCAGTTTGCCCATTCTTAGGTTAAAAAATGAAAACTGAGAAGGGAAAAAGAAACATTAACTCTTTGCAATTTTTTATGGTGTGGGTATGCCAAGTTATGTTAAAGAAGTAAACATTTGAGAAGCCATGTCATGTTTTCGTCCACACAAATACATGGAGAAAAGGTGCAAGAGAATGCAGAAGATGAAAGGCTGTTACTACTTACAAACTGCAGATGAGTAAGTTTGCAGAGATGCTGACAAAATCCATATGAAGGACTCTAGGAGAGGAAAAAGTAATGGACATGGAAAGAAGCTGTTGAAAATTAGATGGAGAATAATGTGAAAGGAAGGAAAGAAATAAGAGAGGGAGCTTCTAGTGGAAATGAGCACATGCAGAGATGTCCTGTGAAGTGATTTTGACTGGAAGATGAGAAGATGGTGGCATCGGTGTAGCACCATTCAGGATGATTCCATGGGCCTATGGTGCTCTGCGTGCCCACGGCATTTGCTCCTGGGTTGGCTTTTCAGTTGGGAAAGGCTGACATTCATGTACAGGTGTAACAGCATAACCCTCATAACAGAGGTGTCAGGAAATGTGCTCAGTTCCATGCACTCACACTGTTTAAGTTGTTAGGTGCTGTGTTTATACCTGCACTGGTAAATAAGATCAGAGGTGCTGCACAAGGTGGCTCTGTGGGCCTAGTAAAATTGTTAGTAAGCAGTGAAAACTGCTCTTTTTACCTCTGCCCTCACTGACCCTGAAAAGTAAGCAGAGATTTCTCCAGATGTACCAAGGACAGATCTCTCAAGTGAAGTGTACTGCTTTTACAGTCACTTTTCTGATTATAATGGCAGTGTTTTCTTAAATTACTTGAAGATGAAAGCAGTAATTGCCTAAAGAAACCTAAAGAGAATAGTACAGAACCATTCTTTTCCAAATCAGTAAATATTCCAGAAGTTGCATTTTTTGTTTGATTTTTTAGACATTTAGAGTGCTTTTACTCATTCAAGCATTTGAAACAGAAAATTGTCAGTGTATTTCCAAAAGAAAAAAACCCAACTGTGTTAATTCAGAAAAGAGACGAGAGAAAACACAATAAGAAATTCATAGTGCAACGTCTCACGTAAAAGCAAATAAGAAAGTAATACTGTTGAAGCAGAAATGTGCACCAAGTATAGATCTAAATATTTATGTTGGTAAATTATTAGCATTCCTACCTGGAAGAACTGTGATGTCATGCAATCCCAAATTGAGTCAGGTCAGCTTATGCAGTGATTATTGACATAAGACTTCCACAGAAACCTGGCTTTCTCAGTTCCCTTTTTATAATGTTATCTAGTTACACTGCTGAGATAAGTCTTGATTATCAGCTATTGTTCACTGCAGTACTCCAATTTGTTCCTGAATTTCATGGCAGGAAAAGTATATCATATACATTTATCTTAGAATAAGCAAACAATACAAACCCAGTAATGGATGGTTTCTTTAACATAGGTTTCTAGATATCTAATTCAGCATTTATACAAAAAAAACCCAACCACTGAAGAGCTCAGGGGTTTTGCCCAGTTCCTACTTTTGTGGGAAATAATAGTAAACTCCTCATCCGCCTCAAACATGATGATTTGGTAACGGAGGTGGTAAAGTCACTATCAGCAGGGTAAGAGTTAAGTAAAAATCTGTTTAACAGAAATGTTTTTTCAAGGACAGGACTGTTCTATGGTGCAATTAGTCCTGCTGATATTGTCCTTAGTTCAATACTAATGTAACAATTGAAGATACAGGTAAAAGGAACTTGATTTTAGACATTTTCCAGATGGTTAGCTAGGGCTTCAGTATAGTGCCTGTTTTCATGCACACATGAAAATTTTGCTTTTTCACATCTCTTCAAGAGTTTTTGCTCCTCTGCCTGAATTTCAGCTCTCATTAGATCTTGTGATTGCATTTCAGTGTACTTTGGGCTGTGTATTATAGTTCTGGGATTCTTGATAATGTTGTTGACCTGGTGTGTAAACCCGTCTGTAGTTATTTATTAATCTTCTTATTACACTGATTATGATATTGTGATTTTTTTCAGTGTACCTTGAGGACAGTTTTGTAAAATCTGGAGTCTTCAACGTGTCAGAACTTGTGAGGGTGTCCAGAAGTAAGTTATCATTTTCATTTAATCATTTACAAAGCCTGCTATAATCAAGAGAAGTTATTTGTTTGTTTGTTTGTTTGTTTCTCTGGAAGTTTGTTTTTCTTCCCAAGATTTGAGATTCATAGAAAACGTCTATAACTGCAGAGATTCGTATCTTTGACCACAGTATTACAGTTCATCTTGCGCATGTTTTTAATAAAATAAACAGGAACTTTCTTTTGTCTTTTCAATATTTAAAGATTGAATCAATTTGTTATGTGTCCCACTGCACAGCTTAATGGACTGGTATGTCAGTAAAATTACCATATGTAATAAAGCCTTCTATTTGTTTGACTTGCTGCTTTTTAAGGTTCTCTTACACATCCTTGGATTTTGCCAAGTTATCTGATCATTTTTTGAGTCTGTTTTTAAATTTGTAGATCTTAAAAAGAAAAATCACTGCATGGATATAAAGGACGGCTGGCCTAATTTATACACTAGCGTTTCTTTTAGTACTGGCTGTAATTGAGTTTTTAATTACGTTTGCTTGTTTTGGCATCAGAAGTGTTACGCATAACCATAAAAAAAAAGGTAAAATACAAAAATAAAAGGTCAGGTGAAGCTTTTATTGCAGAAAAAAACCAACCCAGAATGCACGTAAATAAGATCTGTTTTGTTGACACCTAAGAATTTGCTGTAATAGGACATAAAGCCAGCACATATTTTCATTTAACACTGCTTTCTGAACACTTCTTTTCTCCATATCAACACTATTAAAATGTTTCTCTTAAGACTTCGTTAAGAAATGAAGAAAAACCCAACCCCAACTTAAAAATTATAGTTAGAAGTACCTGCAGTGATGATACCAACAGTATAACAACAGAAAGATCCAGGGAAAAAATCCCTTTTCTGTTGAGGTGAGAAAAAAAAACAGTAAGGCACAAGTTTCCAAAACTGTCTGTCCAAATTCTGTACAGGAGTTAATTCATGCCAGATCAGGATGCTTGAGGAATTTAATTAACATAGTGAGGCTTAAGGTGAATGTGAGATTTAATTTGCTGTGATCATAAATTAATATTCAACATTAAAATTATATTAAGTCCTTCAACAAAATTGCCATCCTGCAGTGTCAGGACATATTCTATTTTGTACTTGCTGAAGACACAGCTTTTCTGATGCAGGAGGCTGAGGATATATGAAATACAGCTTTCTTCTAGTTGTCAGGTGGTTAAATACATTTTAAAGTATCAGGACATTCAGATTAAAAAAGAATCAATATTGTAGTTATGTTATGAAATTGTACCTTCTGCAGCTATTATACACAATATACTTGTAATAGTAAGCTTTAAAGAATGTGGTTTCTGTGGGATTTCTCACCATGCATTTGTTTAACCTCAAGCCGCAACAGAGTTGTACTTTAACTGTCAGGAAAAATACAAGCCTTCAGATACATTACACAACATGCAATTATTCTTTTAAGTGCCAAAGGCAGTTAAAATGCAGAATGCACAGACAGTGAACAAAGGTAAATATACCACAATGTGTAACATATAATTTATTCTTGAAATATCAAGGTGTACGGTACACAGACTCTGTAAGGAGGTGAAGATAACATTGAGTGTGTATGTTTGTGTGTAGAAATACATATGCAGAGACCCATGGCACTGGGTGAAAGAAAAAGGAGACAGCAAAACATATTGATAGCACAGAAGGCTATTGTTAATAAAAAAGAGTTAACATTAAGGGAAAATGAGTTTATGTGTCCCCAAGTTTGTTCTTTCCATTTGTTTCAGTTCTTTAATGAATATTGTTAGCTATCCTTACAAGCCCTGCCTCCCAGATTACAAAACTCCTTCTACAGGAGGCTGGACTTTGTGCTGACATTTGTGTTACCTTTTTTATATTGATGATTCCAGGTTACCTATTATACAAAAAATATATTATGTCTGCATAACTGCTAAGGGATTTCTAGGACTGGGGAAGATACTTTATTTTTTTAGGTATATAAATTTTGATAGAACTTGTCTGTTCTTGATTTGTGCAAGAGGCAGGAAATTAGATAAATGCAGTAACATCTTGATGTTTTTCCAGTGTTAAAAATGAAAAGATGGCTAAAAAGATAGAATAATGTATTTGACTTGTTATGATGATATGTTTTTCAGCACCCATAACCCAGGGAACTGGAGTGAATTTCCCAATTGGAGAGCTTCCGAGCCAGCCATATTACCATGATATGAATTCGGGTGTAAATCTGCAGAGGTCCTTGCCCTCTCCACCAAGCAGGTAAAACTTTGAAATAAATCCTAAAGTGAAACCAGGTTTAATAGCCTATGACAAGCAATTCACAAATACTGTCAAAAGTTAACTGTTTTATGATTTTCCTCTGATTTTGTGAGTTAGGCTGCCTACATATGTTCCCATAATCTAAATACAAATATCTGTGTTTTGGATTTTGAAGCAGTGTCATTATTGCCTGTCATTGCTGTGGATATTGAAGAGGATAATATTTGTCAGGGTTTGAAGTGCTCACAGAATCATCTGCCAAGATAACAGCTACTCATTCTGAAAGTGCTGCAGGAAGATCGAGCAGCTGGGAACCTGCTGGCAGGGCTCAGTGACACAGGGCAGTTGCACAGGCTGTTTCCTATAGAAAAAGCGTTAGAACATGTATATAGAGAAAAGATGTCTTCATCCATAGCATCACCCTAGCTCATGAAAGTATGTTTCCTGCCTCACCCTTACAAGGGGCATTTCCTGGCACAGTAGGAGCAATGAGGAGCATGTGAGGTAGTCACAGGCTCTCTATTTTTTCTCAAGGGTCTCCATGTGCCTGTTGCAGGCAGTTTGATCTGAGGAACCTCCTTCTTCCTTGCTTCCACATGCTCCCTTCTCCCAACTCTAAAAGAGACAACATTCCTTCCCTCAGAAGCAGTTGGTGGGCCACAGAGATGGAGAACCTGCTGTGCCTTCCTTCTGACTCCCAGATCATATACCGTTATGCCCCTAGGGCCCCTTGGTTTTCTGAAACTGTCCGATGTACCATGAAATCATAAGCACTGTAGGACCTCACATTAACCCATGTTTCTGCAACCCAGTGAGTCAGGAAATATCTGCACAGTGGTATAGGGTTTAACAGTCTTCTAGGGACTGGGGTGTTTTTCTCCTAGCGTCTGGTGCTTCTGAGTTATTTTGCTCATATTCCCTATTTTGTTCCACTGTATTTTCAGCTTTGGATTTCACCTGATACATTTTAGAAATGTATGAGTTAATTCTCACAGTGTTGTCCTAACAACAATAATAACAATAATACCACCACCACAATTAAAACCTTCACACTGGTTTTCTGTGGCAGCCAGCATAACAGCTTCAGTATATATTGTTACAAAGAAGCTTCCACTCCCTCCACTGTATTGAAGTGTCCACTGATTTTATATAGTGGACTTGAAATATGGGCCTTTTTTTTTTTTTTTTTTTTAATCAAAATAGTCTGAAATGAAAAGTCTTCGAAAAGCTTAGAATTTTGACCTGCTGAAATACAGTAAACTACATTTTTTCCTTATTAATACGTTCAGAAAAGTTCCTGGTTTACCTTTATCAGTCATGGTTTTCCACTGCTTTGTTTTACTTTTGTGGTTTCTGCGTAGTGTTCAACACTCTCATGACACAACCTTTCACTGGTACATTACAGGAACTGGTTTCTTATTTGTTCAGCCAAATGCTGGTAGAATTTTATGTTACCCATTCATGCCATCTTTGAAATATTAAATCATGTGGAAAATGCAAGCAGATGCCTGCATTACATATTATTAAATAACAGCATCTAAGTTAATGTAAGCTTTAATATCCACCTTTTTGTGCTTTGCATGCTTGAATTACGTTCTATTTTACTTTCAATTGAAATATTTCTTGTAATCAAAGCAGTCTATATTCCATTAGTAGCTGTGTATTACATTCATTGCCAAATCTCACATTACTTCAACAGCAAAAGACCCAAAACTATCTCCATAGATGAAAATATGGAGCCAAGCCCGACAGGAGACTTTTATCCTTCTCCAAATTCACCAGCTGCGGGGAGTCGGACATGGCATGAAAGAGATCAGGGTGAGTAACATGGGACTATTTTGCCTCCAAGTATATTATTCAAATATACAATACATCACTGCATCTGTGCTTTCATTACCACAATAAAATGATGGCACTTTAGAGGAATCATTTTTCTGTCTGAAATATGTATTTGCTGGTTTCATAAACGTTGTTATAACCAGCAGTCAACAGGACATTGTATAAACAACCACATAATAATTTTTCCATCTGGTCACTGCCTTATCAATAGTTTGAAAAGATGTGTGCAAGTGAGGTACTTGATACTGTAAATGTTGTGATGATCTCAACAGATTTTGAGTACAGTGGTTTCAAGTAAAAAGCAAAACATCTATATGGTGGTCGGGTCAACATGTGTTTACTCAGTTCTTGTTTTTCCATGACAGAATGCTTGTATGTGCATTTAGTCCAGACGTTGTGACACAGAAAGGTCCAATAGGCTCTTCTCTGAAGAGCCCCCATGTAGCTCTGTGCTACTACATCCACATGCTAAAGGGTGTTGTTGTGGTTTGGGTTATCAGAAGGTAGGAATATGTTTTTGTGGAGAACAGAATTATGGCCGTCAAAACAGCAAAATTAATTCTGGTAACTTTCTCTCAGGTAAGTTTAATGCTTATAAACCTAGATACCATCATGGTCTTTTCCCTCACCTCTGTGATGTGAATATGTGCTTAAACTTACATGTATTTGAACACTGTTGGTTAATGGATCCTGTGGCTGACGTGCTGCAGCTATTTGGAGAGTCTGGGAAATGTACAGCAAAGTATGTAGAAATGAAACAGTGAAAAAGACATGCCATTGCTTCCTCTGCTAATCATCCAGTGTTTGCACTCCTTTTCACTGTCCACTGCTAATCACTGCTTTCAGTTCTTCAGTGATGAACTGACCCTTTGGCCTTAACTCATATTTAGATTGGTTTAGTCTTTTTCTTCCTTTTTCTTTTGCCTGATAATTTTTTTCTTTCATTCATGTGTGCAAGGTAGCATAAGCTGGGTATTTAATTTAACTGCCTTTTATTTTCAATTTTTTTTACAGTTGGTCTCCTTTTAATCTGCTTCTGCTTACTGTCAGCCTGTGTTCTCATCATTAGGCTATTCCTCTCACACAATGTTACTAGTCTTTCCTTCACTGTTTCTTTTGTACTTTTTGTTACGGAGGCCCTAATATTTTTTTGTTTCTGTCTGTTTGCATTGACTGTTGAATTAAAAAAAAAAAAACAAACTTGCCTGTGGTTTTGCATACCCAAACTTATGAACGGCAAAATAGCAGTTCTAGCAGCCAGAATCTTCCCGCTCGTGTGAAATATTTCACCCCGTGACTCTTACCTGACACTTTATTAGGACTTTTCCTAAAAGACAGGCTTGTACCTCAATATTTGTGCTTTTCAAGTAAGTATTTTTTGCAGCTGTGGGGAAAACAGCCCATAGTTCCTCTGTAAAGTGGTAAACACATATCCCCACTTGCTCTACTGAGTGAACTGTAGGAGCTGCAGAACCCTGGGAGAGAGGTGATCTTTTAAGACGCTTTGAGGGATCTCATTTTTTACGTCTTTAAGATGTTCCATTTCTGCAGAGAGACAGATACACCATTGTATGGTCTGAAAGCCATTACACTGGGGGAAGCATAAGCTTTACTTTGGCTGCATTCACTTTCTGAGGTTACCCTGCTGCTGTGGAAACACTGTGAGGTAGTGGGCGAAGTGCTTGTCCTTCATACCTGGCCTCACTGGGAAGGGGTATTTGGCAGCTCCTGGCATATTTGTTCTGCTGCTAGTTTGTTAGATACCTATCTTCATATTAGCATGTGGAAAGCTTGTTTTGGATACTGAAGTTTTACCAAGATAGGGTATTTGTGAAAACCTATGTTCTGTTTCCCTATGCCTGCAAGCACAAAGATAATAAAAATAGAAGTTTGGAGTTGGTTTTCTATGCCAGAGAGCTCACTGGTACTACTTCCCTCTCAAGCATGGAGATTTGTGTGTCATATTAGGTTAGGCATAAATGAAAAAAAGAAGCCAGTTGGGGTCGCATTCGTGTTTATCCACTATCGCCAGGGGATGTTCATGTAGTCCGAGTAGGCACTGTTTTTCCATGCAGTCTCCAAAGGTCGTCAGCACCAGAAATACGGATCATTTCACAGTATCCACAAATGAGAATATGCAGAGGTATCATGTTTATTGTTAAGTAAACCTTTTCACTTTCACTCTGATGCAATTTTAACTTTTTGAAGAGAAAGAAAATCAGATATGGGATTAATATTAAGATATGGCAATATCTCAATTGATTTCAGTTTAATCGTTTTGAACCTGACAGAACAAGTCTCTAAATTCTGACCTATACTAGATCTAGTTTCTTCGTCTGCATACCTAAGTTTAATGTATTTTTATGCTTAAATTTTAAAGTATTATCATTGAAATAGAAATTTACATGGGTTTGAAAGTTTCCCATGTAAAAAGTTCATAAAGTTCTATGATTCTATGATTCTGTGATTCTTTTGTCATGAAGGCTTTTTGTATCTTTATTTAGCTACATTTCTAAAGTAACAAAAATGAGATGACAGTGGTAGTTTGGAACTGGTGATAGTCAGAATAAAACAATGATAGCTGAAACAGGTTGGAATAAAGTAGTTAAGAGTTTCATGGATGGCTAGGGGGTATCTAACCATTTTGATAGAACAAATTAGATAAAAATTACTGGGTAACACAGAATCACAGAATGGTTTTGGTTAGAAGTGTCCTTAAAAATCATTTAGATCCAACCCCACTGCAATAGGCAGGCACAGCTTCCACTAAGCAGATTTCTCCAAGCGCTGTCCAACCCAGCCTTGGACACTGCCAGGGGTGGGGCATCCACAACTCTTCTCAGCAACCTGTTCCAGTACCTCACCACCCTCAAAGTGAAGAGCTTCTTCCTCATGTCTAATCTAAATTTTCCTTCTTTCAGTTTAAAGACATTCTCCTCCCTGTCCTATCACTACATGTCCTTGTAAAAAGTCCTTCTCTAGATTTCTCATCATCCCTCATTAGGCACTAGAAGCTGCTCTGAGGTCTACCCTGAGCCTTCACTTCTCCAGGCTGAACAAGCCCAACTCTTTCAGCCTGTCTTCAGGCTGTCACAGGAGAGGTTTTCCATCCCTCTGAGCATCTCTGTGGTCCTCCTCTGGACTCACTGTAGCAGGTCCTTCTTATGTTTGGGACTCCAGAACTGAACACGGTATTCCAGGTGGTGTCTCACAAAAAACAGACTAAAAATGTGAGAAAAAAAGTTTTCAGTGGGGTGGTACAGGTCAGATCAAACTTTCACTGCTGTGGAAAATAAATATCATGCAGTTTAGTAGGTAAGCAGACATCAGGAAAGGAGTGATATTGTATGAGTGACTCTGTGGTAATCCTCATAGCTTCTACAGCGTCTCCACTTTGCAAGCATGCATTATGAGGGGCAGGAACATGACTACAGGAGTACTTGTAGTTTAGCCAGGATCTGCATTTCCGAAACTAAGAAAATCTAGCCCTGTTCCAACAAAATCTTCTGCACACCACACTTTCAATTTTAAACCTCCAGACTTTGTCCTTGTGCTGTTATCTACCTTCTTCCTATTGTACCACTTCCAAAACTTTACAAAATTTCCAGATGTTGTGTTTTATAGTCTATTTTAGTGGTGTTGGAAGATGTACGTAGTGAAGTTGGAAGATGTTTAAATATATAATTCTGGGCAGAAATAAGTAAGCGTATATGAAAAGTAAGAACTTTAGGTGGCATAAAGTTGGTCAAAACCGATCTATAAAGGGTTATAAGCAGTGGATTCATTATCCAGTGCTGTACTATTGTTATGCATGTTACTGTTCTGATAGAAAAATTTAAACACCCCCTCTAATTAACCAAAATTAGTATTATAAATAATTTTTTATTTGTATTTATTGAAGTCAGATGATAAATCCTTATGGAAGGAAAGCTTGGAAGCTATGATGCTGCACTGAAGGTTTACTTCATTGACTTGCAAAAGTTTGTGACTACTATAAAATATATGTAACCAAAAGAGTGTGTATAATAACTTCAAAAACAGATTAAAAAAGATAATACTGTGGATTTGCAGTGTTGTTTTTGAGTTTACATATATTCAGTCACTGTGGGAAGATTCTGTAGTTTGTGCCGTTACTTTTGCAATGTTAAAATACTTAAACTCTATTTGCATAACCAAACTAAAACTCTATTTGCATGGTATTTTGAAGCAGGTGTGAGGTCTTCCTGCAGAGCAAATAGGCAGGTTTATAATGACAAAAATTACTCCTAAACCTTTCTTTCTACCATTAGCTTTCCAAGTAACTAATCATCCCCCCAAAATCCCAAATCCTAAGAAAGTGAAAAGTCAGCTCTGAGACTGGTGCATTACTTAAAAATAGAGCCCTAAGATGACAATTAGCAGTTCAATTTTTGTGTCTGTTACCAGACTCTGTGGAAGTTATTTGTTCTCTCTTGTACCTCAGTTTTTCCAGTTGAATGTTGTAATAGCTTCAATAATATCTGGATCACATCTTACATTTCTACCAACTGGAAATATACTTAGATTTAAATAGTAGTTTGCTATAAACCTCTCGCAGTCTTCCTTTTTCCAGATTGCTGTTACTGGATTCTTTACATTTTTCTCTATTAAAAAAACCTGTTTCTTCAGTAGTATAGTAATACTTCTTGAAACAGATGGAAGTCGCTCCATGAGTAAATTTGGTAGATGTTTTAGTAGGTGTACAGTAAAAAAAAAAAGAAAAAAAATTTTCCCATTTAGAAGAGAAAGCTATTAATAATATAATGAAACTAATGACTAGTACAGTGAATAAAAAACAGGGAGAACATAGTAGGCTGAGAACTGTTGGTGAACATCTTGATTTATTAACTGGTAAGTAAATTGATACTTTTTCCTTAACTCATAAGGAATCAGGAATAACAAAGGAACAGATCACATTGTGGGAACCTGTGGCTTCCCTTCTAAAAGCTAGCTTGACAAAGTGCATTAACATAATTGTATACTGTTTCAGTATTTGTCCTTGAGCTCTGCTGTATCACTGTGTATGTTATAAATAAATAAAATACATGCTGGTCATGATAAAAGTGGAGAGATTCATGTGGATTTCTGTAGTAGTCAGGTGACTGAAAATACTGAATGTCAATATAAAATGAAGTGAATTTTAATTTTACAGTTTCTTCATCATGTTCACTCTCTTACACCTCACCCACCTCTGCCAACAGTCAAGAATCAAGATGCCAGTATACCATTAAAACTGAAACAGCTGGACCGCCTTCATCTGTTGATTGGCCAGCAGCTGTTGGACCCTCCACTTCTCAGGTCCCAACCCCCTTTGTCGGATGCCCCTCATCTGGACACTTGTCCCCTTTTTCTTTCTCCCCCCCCACTGGACATTCCTTCCCCATTGGGGTCCTTCCCGATGGCTCTTTCCTTCTTGGGCCTTCCTCTCATCAACTGTCAAAGATGGATGTTCTTATTTCTGAAGTGAGGGAACTAAAAGAGGAAGTAGTTAATGTGGTGCAGGAGTTGAGAACAGTAACAGATCACCTTGGCTTTTTGGTGGCCTGTGTGGGACAGAGTTCAGGAATTTTTCCAGCTCCTAGTGTTTCTTCTGAAGGTTAATGCTTTAGAAACTCATAGTCTCCATCTAACAGATGAATTCTTCTTGCAAAGTTTTACCTTGATGAATATCTGTTAAATGTGTTTCTGTGTTTTTGACTCAGTCTGAGTTCTCAAAATCCTTGTATGTCAAAGCATGTTTTAAAGCAATTTATGTCTTGTTAGTAACTTCTGTTACATCTGCCTTTGTATTTTCTAATATTTCAAAATGCTCTTTAGTCAATGTATACACATATAATGTACATATATATATATACACACATATATCCATGCATACCTTATGGATCTGATTGAATTTTCTAACTAGTATAATGTGTGCACAGTAGTCAAATACCACTTGGTAAGCTTTTTAAACTTCATACTCATAAATTAAGAGGTACTTTTTATCAAGAATAACTTTCTGCATTTGCAGAAATAATTCTTAGACATGGCTTCTCTTAGCCTCTTGGCTACTAAAAATGGCATCAAACAATAACAAACAATAACATTAGAAAGGAAGAGTTGCCTAAAAGGCTGGAAGTTGGGTTCTTCTCTTTCTTCCTGGTTGCAGAACAAGCCATTGACAGTATTCAATGAATGGGCATTGTGCCTGCTCGTGAAAAATTGGCAGTTCTACCATGATAAATTTAAAATCAATAGCGAATTGGTTTACTTTTTGTTTCCATAGTGGCAATTTTACAAGAAAAACTCCTAGCACATAAAATAAGTTAAAGATTACTTTCATCAAGATTAAAATTGCTTTCTTTAGAAGTGGAGAGGCACTAGGTATAGAAAAATAGGTGAAGAAGCTTTCAGATGCTTATTTAATTAAAAAAGGCAGAGAAAGAGGAAAAAAAAACATGAACAGGACAGCAAAAACATTAAGTCGCTTGTACATCAAAATAATTTACATCCTCCATTATTGGGTGAGAATGATGTTAAGTTCATATTCACTCAAAAAATAAAGCAACAGAAATGACATCTGTTTTTCCGTATTTAGAATAGCTTTAGACCAGTTTTCAACTTGTTCATGACTATCTTCAAATATTCAGAAGAGGAAGTTTCGACTCTGGGCAGAGCAGGGACCTGACTTCTCCTTCAGCCCATGTACACTTCAGTTTCTGAACAAATGAAGAGTAATAAAATGTTTAGAAATAGAGACAGAAAGACAAATACAGTAAGAGATGCAGTAAGAAGCATTCAAAAAGGTGTGCTTTTTTGCGTTCCTGGAAATGGCTGTTATTTGCTCAATAAAGTAACTGTAAAAAAATCTCATTGTAGGTTCTTTGTCTTTTATTTTGACTCATATATTGTGGCAAGGCTTATTACTTAATGTTTTCCATGTGTTATTAGTGACTTGAATACACTAAAGGCTAGCATATGCATCTCTTATGTACATCAGTGAAAGATGTAAGTGCAAATGGATATTTGTCTTGTATGAATAGCACTTATTCTGTGGTGAGCTATATACTAGGCAGCATCCTGTTACCTCGATAGTGATGCAGAAAGTCTTATGATTGAAATTGGTGGTAAAACACATGCGTTAATGCAAGATCTGGCTCAGGAGCTATTACATGTAATTGTCCTATTCCAATGTTGCTGAATAAGAGATTTCATTAGTATAATTGAAACTGATCAGCATCTATTAGAAATTGTAAGATAAGTATCATTCTATATGGCCTGACCTATGTGGTGCAGAATATCATCAGTTCCAAAAGTACAGGTATTTAGTACATCATGCACCGTAGGTGCCTGCTCTGACATTTTTCCCCAGTATATTTGTGGTACATCCATGAGATGGAAAAAATAAATTTAGCCCCCATACTGTAATTTTTTTTTTAGGCACCTGTCCTTTTTGTCTTGATTGATAGATTCTTTGTTTCTGTGCTGTATATATAGATACATTTGAAAAGGTTCTTAATTACTCTTTTTCACTGTGTTCATATGAACTGTATCAAACTTGATCAGAGTAGTATATTTCAGTGTGAGTTAATGATTTTATCTCAGTTCAAAACCATTCCCTAGATTGATCTACAATTAAATTAATACAGAACATCTATTAAACCATCCTAAACTGTTAACCAGTAGAGACTATAATAGTAATAAAAAGGAGATGCCATAGCCTAAATGCTTCTAAATCAACAAGTTCTCTTCATTTATTTTTCTCTCAAATGCCTCTTTTAATCTTACTGCTTTAGAAGCTGGGAATACTTTTCTGACATTTGCAGTTAAGTTTGCAATATTGATTTCATTTTCTAGCCAAGGTCTTTGGTTTCTCAGCATTAATGAGGTGTTATAGCTGGGCATTTTTCCTTGGTGTTTGGATGACTTTCTGTAGGGTAATTTAATAAATGACTGAAATGTACTTAAAGTCTTTATAATTTGCTTGGCTTTTAATTAGTTTTTCTCACAGTCTCCCATAATGCTCACAGCCATCTACTGGAATCACATTTCTTAACAATGATTCATAGATAACAAAATGGCCCAGTCTGTTTCTGAAGTGTAAAGTTAAATAAAAAGGTAGTCGGGTACCTAAAGTATGCTGTAGCTGCTTAAGGGTTCTTTATAGCAGTTCAGAGTACCTGGGGCCTCATATGGGTTTTTTAATGGCAGTATTTCTGTTTGTTATAATACATTCTTTGTAGCAGCAATACTGTATTTTTGGTCTCATGCTTTTTATCTCTATTTCTTAAGGCAGCCTTATTACTTGGAGTGCCTGTTCCATGTTTAAATGGTAGCCACCCCACTGAGCTCTGAGTTACTCCTAAGTACTTCCCATATGACATCTGATGGGCTGTGCAGGTACAGAGGTGCTTAGATAAACTGATTCTCAAGTTGTGGGAAGAAGGGAGGGAGGAGAGGCTGAATGGGGGAAACCTGTCACTCTTCCTGCTGGCCCCCTGGGTCACTTCAGGGCTGATGGAGACATTCTCACCTCCCTCCAGCTCAACAGCCCAGCTCTGCATGGCCTCTATGGTGGCACCTGTGCCTTGGGGGTCTCCCACCTGGACAATGCTTCTGGCATGAAGCATGTCAGGTTAGGAAGGCTGGCCAGCTTTATGCCATGTCATGCTGATTATGAACCTTTCCTGGGAGGCTTATTGTTACTTTCTCGTGGGGAGTGGCAAGGTGGGTTTGAAGGATGAGAATGAAGAGTTGCTGCTGCCCACTATTCTTGCAGAATAACATGCCATAGTTTCAGCCTAATCTTAATCATAACAGATGTAAATGTAAATAGGAATACTCTCTTCAGTAGGCAGTTACTACATGTCATATGACACTGCCAAATAACTGTTACGGGATTAAGGGTGTATGTCCTGTCTTACAGTTAAGTGCTTTTTGAAATTACTTTGGGATATGGATGGTTTTGATATGTACCTATTCAATATTAATGCTCTAATCTCACCATCATATCTTTCCTCTTCTCCTGTTTTATAAACTGCTTTTTGTTAAAACTGAAAAATTGTAAAAAAAGCTTCCTCAATTGCCCTAACTTAAATAACCATGCATTAGAATGATACTTTTCAAAAGCTAGCGTATATAATTTTAACAGAAACTGTACTGAGTTGTTTTGCTTTCTGTTGATAAGAAGTGGGACAATCAGTAATGCAATGAAGAAATTCTGTTGTACAACTTTTTACAGTTAGTCACACAGAGCAACAAAAAGCATCCTAGAACTTGTTTGTACAGACTTGCCTGGATTTTACAACCCCCCACTTCATCTTCACCCCCATTATGGTGGGAAGTATAAAGGCAGGTAAATATAATCCCTCTATGTTTTGTCGAAATCACTTTCTGTTGAAAAAAACCAAACATCGAAGTTAACACCTCCTGCAGAATGTAACTGTTGGCAGTAACGTACAGTATTCTGGAAGTTTGATGTGGGAAAGGATGAGAAGAATGACATGTTTACTCCATCTAAAGGGTTTCTGACTCTCACATTTGAGTTTGAAAGTTCTTGCATCACTTCATTCTCTTTTATATACTAATGGTTAAAGAGCAATGCGAAATAAAATAGTGAAATTTATTAGAAAAGATTAACAGAGAATGATCAAGGAAATAATTAAGTTGTTACTGTAATAAATTTACTCTTGTTCTGTTGAATTGTAAGGTAGTATTTTGCTTACCAGCTTGCAGTACTGATCTCTGCATAGCCTCATCTCTGCCTGATGCTGAACAAAAATTCTAGCAAGTTTTTTTCTATTCTAGGCATCAAGTATCTCAAACACCAGGCTGTTCAGGCACATCTTTCTCTCCTATTTATTCACAAAAATATGCCACCATTTATTTTTTGTGAAGATGATAAATGAATTAAAATGTTTTGATTTTCAGGATTGCTGGTTTCCATTCCACCGCAGTTCCAAGTCTTAAGACAGCTAGAGCAAAGCCTTTTTCTTACAAATGAGAGGTGGTGTGCTTTAGAGCCACACAGCTGTCAATGTTTAGCGTTAGGTGCCTTATTAAGACCTACAACTGAGAAATACAGAATGCTTACATGGGTGAAGGAAATTGGACTGAACACATCTGAAAATCAGTGTGCTGGCTCTGCCTGTGCAGGGTGGCTCTGCTCATTCGCCGCATGCAGAGGTGTAGAACAAAACTGGTTCTCCTGAGCACAGTGGTATTTGTCACAATTCATCATCATCATACAGCTAGCCAATGTGAATTTAAAGTTTTACTTAAGTTTTCACACGTGCTTCACAGAAGCATACCCACCAGCTGTGTTAGAGGCAGTGGAAAGTGAGGCACAGATGGATGTGATGTATGCAGTGTATCCTGCCACCAGGTTACACTAGGTGCTGTTTCTGAGAAAAGACCTGATTATTTAAAACTGTAACATGAAAACATGCCTCTTACAGATTGCTGGTGGTGCTATGGCTCCGTATCTTTCCTGCTTTCACAGGGGTTATATATACAGTAAGCTGAATGTTGTTTTATCTTGGAGGTGATGCTACACTAATGACTTGTGATAAATCTTTACAGATTGTTGTCTGCAGGAGCACACCCTGTAAAGAAAGACTTGTTAAACTAAGTAATAAAAACCATACTAATAAGAAGAGGTAAATAATAAACTTCATTAAAAGAGATTTAACATTTTTTTATGATTTCTTCTTACTCTGCTCATCAGAATGTCTCATGAGGAAGGAAGAGAAGCTGCCATGTTAAGGTGGTGAGCAGGAAAGCAGATCAGGTGTCCAGAAGCAGGCAGGTGGATGTTTGAAACTGCCCTGGATCAGTGCTCGATTCTAGCCAAGTTCTGCTAACAGGTGGCTTGC